AAAATCATAACCTAATTTTAACCTAACTTCCGTCGTCTTAATATTTTACAGGTCCTGCTGCATATTTTAATGTTTTACAAAATGAAAACGCATGGCCGGGAGAAGGAATAGAGATAAATACACTTTTTGTTTGAATGTGTCCACAGCTCAATATATAGTAAAGATAAGATTATAGGACGGAAACATTTTCAGGATTTCTTCAATGTTTTCCAATATTGGTCGAGAAATAACTCAGAACAAACATTTTTACTAAATAGATCTAGTACAATAGATCGCAATGTTGAATTTGTACACTCTCAGTACAGTTGTATTCTGATGTCACGAGTGTCAATTCAATTTATATGTGTCCGACAAAACTTTTAATAATCGTAATAAGTGCAATTTTATGTGTTCTTAAGTTTCTGTTTTTATACTCTTTTATTTAATCTTAGAAAGCATGTCAACTAAAGTGAGACAATTTAGTTTCCTTGGTATATTTGACACTTGTGACGTCATGTATTATTGGTTCATTTCTCTGTTGCCACCTACTGTACTTGATAGTTTGAATTTTACAAATATGTTTTGGTCTGCAGATACATACATATTGTGCCCTTTTTACACGCTGATATTGTGCCTCAAACCTAATTTTTCTTGTCCATGTATTTTTGAAACTTGAAGGTGTAAAGTTAGACAATTAACTACGTTTTTAAGTGGCAACATCCCAAATGTGCAATTTCCCAAGGCTAGACAGACGTTTAAAGTTACACATTCAGGAAGTACCTAGCATCAGTTTATAATCAACTCTGGTTTATACTTGGGGAACAGTCCCTTTAAATCAAACAAGATTACAGGTTAGAAGTTTGTGTTGGATGTATTCATATAGAAACCTGAATCCTTCAAGAGAATTCAAGAGGTTTTAATTATTCACCGTTTATCTCAAACCAAGCAAACAAAACAAGGTTTTTATCAAACAGATTCTGGGAAATCCTCATCAAATTGGATATAACAAGCTTTCAAACATTACATTTTTTATATAAAATATAATTTTAAATAAAATATCAGAAAACACTGTAAATGTTGTTCTGTTAATAATGTTGAACAAAATGTTCGTAAATTCGAAATACTATCGGCTTGTAGTTCTCCCATGTTGGGCGGGAGCGCTTTTGATAAATGTGACCAAAAAGCAAAGTAAATAGTGAATTCAGTTTCAGATTGAAAAAAATATAATGAGAGAAAAACTTTTTTGTATCTACCCTTTTACTCTTTCTATATTTTCTTCGCATCAGGATTAGCTGGGAGAGAGACTTACACAATCAAGTTTAAAATGCGTTCCCAACTTAGTACGCGTTCTTGATAATAAGAACGCGTTAACGATTTTAACTGTTCTTTTCAAGCAATTCCCGTTCCGTTCTTTTACTAATCGTTCCAATATTTTTAAGAAAGCGTTCTAAGCGTTCGTTTTTTTCGGAACGATGGGATCGTTCTTGATCGTTCCGTACGTTCTCGGGAAAGAACGATCGTTCCACCAGGAACGAGCCCAGCCCTAAGGGGGGTGGGCTGTATAAGAGCGGATAAAGTATCATGGAAAAGTTTTTTTTCTATTCCTTAGAAAATGATAATTCATTTAAAAATTCATCATAAAGTTTGTCAAACATTGATACAGCTTTTCACGTTCTTAATTTTTATAAAAATGTTTTTAATCTTTCCATAAAGTTATATTAACAATCTTCTTAAAGGAACTGTCAAACTAATGACATGACTGAATCTCAATGAACATGTAGTAGTTTCTTAATAATAGCTTGCGACTTTATACATCAGGAACGAAAGAGAAAATTGACAGAATTTTTTTGTTCAAAATAGAGAAACAACAATATATTGTTTTTTTAATAAAGGTTTAAATGGTTTCAGTTGTAAATAAGACATGATCACACACCTCTCACCCTGCAGTAAATGTAAATTTAACCTAAAGTCTGACCGCGTCAACCTTACTGCACCGTTTAGTCCTATTGAATGTCCGCTTAGTTTACCCAACGTCCGGGCGATACAGTATAAACTGGGACCGGAAAGGCAGACCCGGCTCGAAAATTCAAATGTACTCCGGCTGCCTGTGTGATCGAAGGGTTACTTGACATCACTTGAATGTCCCATTAAGAAAGGAAATATGGTGACCTTGATATTATTTATATAATCTCTACTGCTAACTTTGTGGACATACAAAAGGAAAAACGGACTGGAGACCTTATTTAAAATGACACTTCAATTTAGAGAGACGTGTATACCATTAAAAGCTTTTTATGATTAAGGATAAATTAAATATCAGTGTTTAACTTTAAAATAAGATTATGCGGGAATTTAACAAATTGCATGTAATAGCAGTTATTTTCGAGAATTATTAATTATTTGAATGCATTTATAGATAATGAATAACAATTAAAATTTCTCTAATTCATGCATTTTGACATTTTTTCCGGCAATAAACCAGTTACAAACAAGCAAAAGGGTGTACTTTAACTTCCCTTCTAACTATGATTATAGAGTCATAATACAAAGAACCGGAATCAATTGACAGTTAATTAGGCAGACCACATTTTGGAATGGGCAGGACTAGGGCTATTTTGTTATTATCGTTTCATCAATCATATTTATAAGATTAGTAAAGTCGTCTGATTACTTGTAAATAAATTCCTGGTCTTTCTGATTTATAGGACTGTATTATATCTATAATTATCTATAGTCCAAGAATTTACTTAATAACTGCAATAACAAAATTATCAAAATATTTTTTTTTAAGGTAAGCTTGAACAGTGTGCTATTTGAAAATCTATCTGTATGTTAAGTGGTGAAACCATGGAGACCGATTTAAATGAATTTTGAAGATCATCGATTCACGTCTACAATTATCAAGCGCGTAGTGGAAAGGGGGGCTGTCGGTACCCCTGTGCCACCCCTAAAGAGTAAACTTACATATATATTCAGATTTTTTACTTCTCTTATCAATCGACAATGTCACAATTTGTCCATTTTAAATTATTTCTCAAATTCTTTCTTGTACCTTAATCTTATTTACAATATTTTTTTTCGCGCCGTTTTATTTAAAATGATTGGTAATTATGGTCTTATGACTAATAGTCAGCATTCAGGTAGATTTTAAACTTAGTTTTTTCTTAATACCGCATTTTTAGGGGGTGCACAAAAAAAAATTCGGCGCGCTTACGCACGCCAAAGGTGCACCCATCTAGGCTAAACCCCCACTACGCGCCTGACAATTAAACAATAATACAATTATTACCTAAATCCTGATGAATCTTTTATGATTCACGGAATTGAACTGGCGACGGTAGGTACTAGGTAGGTAGAAAATACTTTTTTCTCCGGGATTCCATTATTTATCTATGGGGGATTCCAGCAACCNAATACTTTTCCTGTGTTTCGGAAAAATATGTAAGAAGCCTAAAAATGTTTATCCTTAGGTCTATAAATTCGCCGGCCCAAGCCTCTCAAAATCCCAACTATGGATAAAAGGACTATTCAGACCTAGCAGGAACCATTATGGACTATGTGGGCTGCAAGGGTCTTGATTTAGAACTAGTATATAGTAGTATGTATCTTATATGTATATGTAGTACACAGGGCCAGGGGACTTTCTTGAGTTCAATCTGCCCCCCCCCCCCTGGCGCAAATTATGAATCATGTGTCTGAATATTTATTTTTGGTTTAGATAGCTCACACTGATTCAAATTCAAATTTCACTTAAACCATTTATATATAAAAGAAAGAAAAGGGAATTCTTATAAATAAAAAATATTTTGAAAGTTGTTGTTCAACAGAAGACGACATTTAGTATAGTTGTTGAAAAAGTTAGCTTTCTATGCCTATATTCCCTGTTAAGTGTTAGTAGACTATAGCCCTAAAGTAGTAAGTTTCATGTAAGGACTAAGGGCCATTGCTTAAGAGGTTTACACAAATAAATACTTTATGTGTAAAGTGGCTTAGGGTGTTTCAAAATAAAACATTTTTTAGATATAGATGCCCCCATTTAGATCCTGGTTCATTTTGGTCCATAACTGAGTCTAAAAATATATATATTTTTTTGAATATCGGGAAAAGGTCGGAATCGTTGGACTCGTCGGGCTATGCGTTTGAAAATTTATTGAATAAACTGAACGAGGTTGCGTGATTTTTTCATGAATTTTTGTGGTTTTATAACATTATCATCTCTCTTAAACTCTGATAGAAATAGTAAAAAATTATAAATTTTTCACTGACAATCATTGGTGAATCGTTGATAGATCAAAAACTCTTAAATATATCATCATTGAGAATTAACAATAGATCAATCTCATAACTGGTAGATCAATTAATCTTTAATAGATCAGCATTGTGAATCAACAATAGATCAATCATATCCTTGATAGATCAATTAATCTTAAATATATCATAATTGTGAATCGACAATAGATCAATCTCATCCTTGATAGATCAATTAATCTTTAATAGATCTAACATTGTGAATCATCAATAGATCAATCTTATCCTTGATAGATCAATTAATCTTTAATAGATCCAACATTGTGAATCATCAATAGATCAATCTTATCCTTGATAGATCAATTAATCTTCAATAGATCCAACATTGAGAATTAACAATAGATCAATCTCATCCTTGATAGATCAATTAATCTTCAATGGATCAGCATTGTGAATCAAGATTAATCTCATAACTGGTAGATCAATTAATCTTTAATAGATCTAACATGGAGAATTAACAATAGATCAATCTTATCCTTGTTAGATCAATTAATCTTTAATAGATCAGCATTGTGAATCAACAATAGATCATTCACATCCTTGATAGATCAATTAATCTTCAATAGATCAGCATTTTGAATAAACTTTATGAATAAAGATTGTCCATTTCACTTCTGAGGCTACTAGTGAAACTATCTGCTTTGTATCAACATTAAATGCACTTTAAATATTGATTAAATGTCGTCTTCCTATTCTACAGTTTTCTGGTTTTCATTGTATACAGTACATAATGCCAACCTTCGCTCAAAATATTTGTTTGTTCGTGTATTAAATATTGCTTGTCCTCTTCCTATTCTAAATGTCTATATTTATGCTCTAACAATATGTTCATGCCTTGAAAAAAAAGATTTACTATTTCTCCTTTTTACTTCGTGTCATACTTTTGGCAAAATCCAAAATTTTTACAAAATCCAGCTGATGTGCAAAAACGTGTAAAAAATCTGGCAAATTATTTAAAATTTTACTTTTTTGAGAAACAGTTTACGATTTCAAATATCCATCCATCCTTACTTTTTGTTTTTTTGCAGGTTTTATTTGTGTTTAAATCAGCAACATTATGTATTCTCCATCATAACATCAATACAGTTAATCAAACTTAAATAACAATTATACAGAGCTTTATGAACAGGGAGTTTAGATAAACGGTTGAACAGCAAACAGGATAAATTCAACAATGAAGATAAAACAGGAAAGAACAACACCAACTCCTACTACCAGAAACAGGAAAACTGTGCTCTGGAAAAAAAAGTTTATAAAAATCTAAATTAGTTGAATTTGAATCTAAAATAATTAAGGTAACTTTTTGTTACAAACATTTTTACATAAGGGGAATTATAATTTTAAAGAGGAGGGGGGGATTTAACAAATTTTACTCTTTTTCAATTTCAGACGTTAACTCTATTCTAATTATAAACTTGTTGTTTGTCAGTCTGTTTGTTTGTCCGATCATAACTCAGGAACTATTGGACCGAATTGCCTCAAAATTTTGATTGGGAAACTCCGGAGATCCACGGGAATGAGTTTAGCTTGGTATTGAGATTCTTAATTGAGTGGGACGACTTTAATAGTGAAAATTATTTTCCCGGTAAAAGCGTTCTAGTGCGGGTAAACGGCGGGAGTAACTTGTAGTTATTTTGGCAGCGCTTGGTTCCCAAGATAGTATCAAATATTATTGTTGTAAAAGCGGATGTTTACTTGCATGTTTTTTCTCCTCTTTAGAATACTTTTCCCCCTCTTTAGAATACTTTTCCCCTCTTTAGAATACTTTCCCCCCTCTTTAAAAATACTTTTACCCCTCTTACTTTCCCCCCTCTTTAGAATACTTTTCCCCCTCTTTAGAATACTTTTCCCCCTCTTTAGAATACTTTTCCCCCTCTTTAGAATACTTTTCCCCCTCTTTAGAATACTTTTCCCCCTCTTTAGAATATTAGAATACTTTTCCCCCTCTTTAGAATACTTTTCTCATCTTTAGAATACTTTTCCCCTCTTTAGAATACTTTTCTCCTCTTTAGAATACTTTTCCCCTCTTTAGAATACTTTTCCCCCTCTTTAGAATACTTTTCCCCTCTTTAGAATACTTTTCTCCTCTTTAGAATACTTTTCCCCTCTTTAGAATACTTTTCCCCCTAATATTTTTCGCTAAAAACTAATTTATTTTCCACAATTTAGCTGGGTTTGAAACTAACAGTTTGTTTCTCTGTGCAAACATTTTTATATAGTTGGAATTATTTATAATTTTGAGGAGGAAACATGTTACATTAATATGAATTTAACAATTATAAACAAATGTTATACTGTATACTATGGAATAAGATGGCAACTATCAGACCCAAGTTATTATTTTTAAATGCCCCAGGACTGAGCATAAAGCAGTGTACACAGACCAATTTAAAAGTATTAAGTTTATAACCACACCTTAATACATTTTAGGCTGCCTAAATGTCGTCTTCCTATTCCATAGCTCTATGGTTCCCGCTTTAAATCAAATATATTACCTGAATACCCAGGATCAGATTGGAATTGTTACATGTCGCAGTTCCTTGATTTCCGCTATAGAAACAATTAAAAACTTAATAATAATCAAAAATCAAAATGTAAGCATCAATGATCACTCAACCTAGTGCTGGGCAAGTTCTTTATGGAAACCGTTCTTTCCACCTTCGTTAACGAGGGACTTTAGCTGCAGTTCCGTTTGTTTTTTACTTAATTTGTACCGTTACAACTTTTTTTTACTTTTGAAATTTATGATTCTACCATTCGTTGCCGTTTAGATCATTAATACTCTTTTATAATAATTTAGAAAATGTTTTTTTTGAACCTTTGGGGTCATAACTCATACTCATAGGACATGATTAGTATTAATAAAAGTGTTCTAGCTTACCTTTTGCTTTTCTCAATAATAGTGTTAACAACTCCTGTTTCCTGCAGTACACTTAGCTGTTTCCTGTACAGAATAGATTTATTTCTGCTGTACATTTAGCTGTTTCTTGTACAGAATATATTTATTTCTGCAGTACACTTAGCTGTTTCCTGTACAGAATAGATTTATTTCTGCAGTACACTTAGCTGTTTCCTGTACAAAATATATTCGTTTCTGCCGTACACTTAGCTGTTTCCTGTACAGAATAAATTTCTTTCTGCCGTACACTTAGCTGTTTCCTGTACAGAATATTTTTATTTCTGCTGTACACTTAGCTGTTTCTTGCACAGAATTTGAAAACGAACAATTTCCATAATTTGACAAAGGTTTAAATACAAAGAGAATAGAATATATATTAGAGTGGAATTTAAACAATCTCTCGGTATGAATTTTGTCAGTCCCTTTCAGCCAGAAAGGGAGTTCAAAGTGTCAAATCATGTAAATGTTCACAAATTATATGCAGTAGAATACATTAATACAGTTTGTTCCATAGACTATCCATTTCAATTTCGAATTTTTTAAAGCTTTTAAATAAACTTTATAAAATGAATTAGGTGAATAAAAAACATCATTTGATTTATAGTTATAACGGAAAATCATCATTTGTAAAGTGAAAGGCATAGAGTCTATGTGAAATAATCATTGGTCGATTACAAAACCAGCCTATTTCATAATTTGGTTTTCTTTTAACATTTATTTTAGATTTTCTATAAAATGATGTTCCAGGGCCCAAAAGATTATATAGCACAAATATGTGAAGTATACCTGCAGTATGGAAACACTACAACAAAATGGCCGTTTTATACTTTTTCTATTAAATTCCACCCTAATATATATTCTATTCTGTTTGTTTAAAGATTATGATTGTACATTCTCGGAGTTAGATTCAAGTTCATTCCTCATAAAATATAAATTATAAGATGACACTTACTGAAAAAGATGAGTGAACGGGGAATTTTTGCTTAAATAGATTCCAATTTGTGTTGGTAGGACGGGATCTTCAGCTATCCTAGCCACCTCACATGGATACTTATCTACACCAACAAGAATGGTTATTTCGAAAAACATCGTAAAACAACTATTTCTAAAAATTTCATGGGATCTAAATCCCATACTAATAAAGCTCTTCGCTCATACATATAGACATGTTTGTATATTTGTGTGTATATATATCTGTTTGCTATAGCTGGCTAAACGGCTGGACTGAATTGGTTTAAATTTTCTACGGGAATCCATAGAAAACCAGGCTGGGGGTAACGTATAGCTACCCTTCTTTAAAAATCTGTTGCCAACAAAGAGTATATAAAACAATCTTATTTAGTTCATTTTTATTATATTTTGATCTAGATATATATAAAAAAGTTCACAGCTGCAGAGAACCATGAAGAACACTTTAGATACATTTCATATAAATTATTCTCTGCCGGTATCCCTGGCTACCTCAAAAAAATACTTACCAATAAGATTCAAAGCATCATCACCAAAACCCAAAACTAGATAATTATTCTGAAAATTATAAAGAGTAAATAAAGAAATTATCTTTTTGATAAATAACAATAAAAATATAAAACAAAATTCTGTATAAAACGTCACCAAAATATGGATAGTAAATGTGTGAATAAAAAAATAAAACAAAATTCTGTATAAAACGTCACCAAAATATTGATAGTAAATGTGTGAATAAAAATATAAAACAAAATTTTGTATAAAACATCACCAAAATATTGATAGTAAATGTGTGAATAAAAAGTTGGCCATAGTTTTGTGTGCGATTTTTTAGCGTGATAATTTCTTGCGAAAATTCTCCAAAAAAATGGGCTTCATTACGCAATTCCGCTTAACAAATTGTGTTAAAAGGTAGCAAATTTGCGCGGATTGTGCGAAAATTATTCAAACATTACTCTAATAGCAGTTAGTATAGTTTCTGTTTCTCCTTCACCCCATTTTATTATTCCATACTGATTCCCTGTAACCTGAATTAAAGAAAATTAAGGAAAACTTTCCGTTGCCAAGCAAACTTTTTTCTTGATTTTTCCGTTAGTTACTTAAAACTACCGTTATTAAAAATAGGGATGGATCTTTTTCACTTTTTTTGAAAAACGATCATTTCGTTTTAATGAAGAAAAAACGAAAAACAAAACGGTCGTTTTGAAAGCAATCGTTTTCAAAAAAGTTTGTCGTTTCGTTAACAAAAGTTAATCGTTTTCTAATTTTTGACATTTAAAACATTTAATACAACATTCATAAACTTATCTTCCTGAAAAATATTGAAATCAATTGTCATAAAACTCAGATTTATTATCATAGTCTTTTTTTCAAAAACGATCATTTTAAAAAATTATTGTTGAAAACGATAGCTTTTTGTTCTTAAAAGTTTAAAATGAATGGTTCGTTTTCAAAAACGATCGTTTTTTTTTAAATAACAATCATTTTTAGGAAAAACGAAGACAATTAACAACCCTAACATAGTATGTATAATTTATATCTTTTATGGCATATTTATTCACATGAAAGAAACAATAATAATTTGTTTTTAAAATGTCTTTTTAGTAAGGATTGTTTATCAGGTTGTCAAAACAATGTGTTTTCATTGATAAAAACATTTGTTTATTTTTAAGTAAATTGAACTAAATGGAAGCATTTTTCTGCCTAAATTGTTATTTTCTGTTATTATGTCAATTTGACAGAAATATGAAAAACAATGTTGCTTTTTGATTAAAAATCTATTTGATGTTATTTGTGGGAAAATAGAGATGGTCATTGGTTTTATTTGTTTTCAAAAAATAAAAAAAAATGTTACTTACAATTATATTGTATAGGTAAAATTACTAACTTACTAATAATTTAATTAATTAAAAGACACAATTAAAATTTTGATTTAATTCTTACCTTTTCATCCCACAGCCTTTTAAAGATTGCCTGATATGTATTTGCAATTATTCTTTTTAAACTTTTCTTAAATTTTCTTTGAAAACTTTTTAATCTCCGGACTTCCAGGCTTAGTCGGATTGAGATATATATGTTGATAGCTAGATAAACCTTATTTACAACACAAAAATTTCAAGCTTTGATTATAAATGAAGTTTTGCAAATTTTCCTTTTCTGAAAACTCAAGTTCGGTGACATAGAATGATCCAGCTGGCAAAGATAGCTTTATATCAGTATCTAACAAAAATCTTTAAGTTTTGCAACTTCAAACTTGCTATGAATAAATTAACATAAAGACAAGCAGAGGTATACAATTTCAAATTTAAGTTGATTGTAACTACCCACCAAACAAAACTGGATGAAACAACTAGTTGTTAAAGTGGAATCAAACTTGATAAGACAAATTATAGAAAATCCTAATACACAGATTAAGATTGGGATTACCTAAAATGTCTTCCATTCTTTGGATCGGCAACTTTGCAGTTTTGCTGAAATATTAATAAATGAATTTTGAATTTTTGAAATCAGAAATAAAGCTGCTTATTACCTGGTTAGATAAGATGTAAGTTCTGCTTTGTATGTTTCTACCACAAAGAATCCAAGAATTAGATAGGTTAGCATACATACTCTCCAGGCTTTCTTAAACCTTAAACAAGAACTAGATAGGTCTGCATACATATTCTCCAGGCTTTCTTAAACCTTAAACAAAAGCTAGATGCATACTCTCCAGGCTTTCTTAAACCTTAAACAAGAACTAGATAGGTTATATAGCATGCATACTCACTAGGCTTTCTTAAACCTTTTTTTAAGATCTAGATGTTTATCATCTCCATATCGAGATTATCTCTAGGCTTTCTTAAACCTTAAACAAGAATTAGATAGGTTAGCATACATATTCTCTAGGCTTTCTTAAACCTTAAACAAGAACTAGATAGGTTAGCATACATATTCTCCAGGCTTTCTTAAACCTTAAACAAGAACTAGATAGGTTAGCATACATATTCTCTAGGCTTTCTTAAGCCTTAATCAAGAACTAGATAGGTTAGTATGCATACTCTCCAGGCTGTCTTAAACCTTAAACAAGAACTAGATAGGTTAGCATGCATACTCTCCAGGCTTTCTTAAGCCTTTAACAAGAACTAGATAGGTTAGCATGCATATTCTCCAGGCTTTCTTAAGCCTTAAACAAGAACTAGATAGGTTAGCATACATACTCTCCAGACTTTCTTAAACCTTAAACAAGAACTAGATAGGTTAGCATGCATTTTCTCCAGGCTTTCTTAAGCCTTAAACAAGAATTAGATAAATTAGCATGTATACTCTCTAAGCTTTCTTAAACCTTTAACAAATAAGGTACTGAAAAGTGGGTTATGGATTTGCCTTTGTTAAACTTTTTTAATATCATGCTTGTTCTTCCAAATTTTTAAATTCTTTCAATGTTTTCTAAATAATTACATCAACAGTAAATCATTTAATACAATTTTTTTTTACAAAATTACAGTTTGGTTTGTTTTCAATATCTTTTCTCAAAGTAAATATTTTGCATAATGTCAAGCAGACAATTTTGGCTAACTTATTCGTTGTTATTCAATATTTGAAAACTAGAAAGAAACAAAAGAAATTATCACATCAAAGTCAACAGAAAAACTATTGATTTCCAAATCGTTTAGCAACAAAATGAACTGTTGTTGAAAATATTTCATGAAAAATTTTAGAGAACGAATGGATCCTTTTTTAAAGATAATGGCAAATTTTATTACTTTTTATGGTTTAAATTGTGCGACAGTCATTAACAATTTAGCTTTTGATTGTCAACTTCTGTATTATAAAGAAGCACAACTTAATTGTTGAAGGTGAAGGAAGTTTATGAATATTTGGTTTATATATGCTGTTTGCATAATTAAATATCAAGATCAACTTCATTACTAGATGGGATCAAGGAAACTGAAGTTACTAAAGAACAGTTACTTAATGAGCCTGTAAGTTTGTTATTTTATCTGACCCTTATAAATTGTTTGTTGTGTTGTGATGTCTGCTTAGAAATTCAATTAACCTGGGACCAAATTCAAGGAATTTGAGCTAAGGTGCTGAATTACCTACAGTGGGTTCAAATCATGAATAACAGATTCAAAGTTAAAAATTCATCAGTATTGAACACAAACTGCAATAAGTAGTTCATGAACCTCTCTCTAATTCATAAAATTCTCTCCCTGAGTTCTTTATTACCAATTCACCTTTTCTCAGGAAGCAGAAAGGTCTCTGCAGCTCCTAAAGTTCTTAAAGAGAAACCAACAAGGTCTAGAACTAGGCTCCCCTATTAATTAAATTTATAATAATTAAAGCTCGGAATTATAAAATTTAAAATTTAGTGCTATGAAGAGTTGCTAAATGAAATTAGATAAATGCTTATTGAATTAAATGCCTACCTGTTCTAAAACTGAAGTTTGTTTATATGAGAATATGGCAAGCAACAAGAGAAAGAGGGATAAACCTCCAGCAGAACAGAACACATAAACCCATATCATCTAAAATTAGGCTTAGTTTTATTAATAATTAAATTTTCCAAACTAATATTGGACTTAAGGGACATACAGGATTAAAATATGACCATTGCTCTTGTTACCATCTCACCGGTTTCAGTGGTTTAAAGAATGCCGTAAACTCAAGTTCAGTTCCAGGTTTAGCCATTAAGCACATTGTTGATTGAAGAATCATTTTTCCACCAAAATCTGCTACCTACATATGAATTCAAAACATTTTGAGTATGATTGATTACAAACTTTTAATAAATAAATGCAAAGTTTTAAATGGCCCAAATCTTGGTGCTTTAAAATGCTATTACCTGTTTTCTTGCATAAGTTAAAGAAAGATCAGTAACAGCAACATCTATTTCACCTCTCTCAAGCATTCCAATTAATCCATTGAATTGGGAAACCTTTCCTCTGTTTATTACTCCACCGGGGACCTAATTAAAAAAAATTATACAAGACATGTAGGACCCAGTTCAGACATTTAATCACTGAACTACCTACTCTGTCTGTTCAAATTTGAACCGCTGATTAAATGTTAAAGATTCAGAAATGATTTGAACCTGTGAACTGGCGGTAGGCTGTTAAACGACCGCGCCAATTTGGTTCATATTCTGGCATTTCCTGGCCCCCTTTCTTACATACATGCATATTTTTTTTTTGCACATTTGGGTTTTATATATGGATATATGGATTTCTATCTCTATCAAAATATGTGACCATGCACTTACTTTAGCTCCATAAAATCCATCAATAGATGGAATAGATGAATATGTGAAGTTCATTAGTGTGCTCATTGTGTGAAATATTCCTCCGATTGATCCATCAAACACTTCCCCATCAAACCTAAAAAGTAAAGATTCAATAAATAACAACATTTTTATTATAATTTTTTATACTTGACGTAGGGTGATATTAGATGACCCACAGTCATTCTTATACCATGCAAGTCAACTCTAAAGTTGAAACCCACAATAAAGCAAATCAATTTAGTTTTCATAAAATCAGGTTATTTTCTAATTTTTAATTTAGGTTTAATCAAGGTTTTCCTAGTTTCCACTTGTCCATGAGAAATAGGAATATTGATGGTGATGCTGTTGTACACAGACTGCAAAAAAATTACATATAGATTCTGGATATTTTAGAACCATCTAGTAATCACCTGAATTGTTTTGACTTCAAATACTTCAGAGTTGTTTTTAACCAAGAATTTTTTGTTCTCTTGTCCATCCATTAAAAACCTTAATGCATTGTTATTCAATATAAGTGTAACTGTTTATATTAATTTGTGTTACAGGTCTTGGCTTATTTTGTTAATTATTAAATTACTTACCTTTTAACAAACTGTTCATTGTCTGTTAGAAAAAAAGCATGAGCCTCATTAACCTTCATTTCCACCTCAAATATTAGTTGTTAAATAAAACGAAAAATTTGTTTAAAATTTTTAATAATACCTCAGCAGGAAGTTTGCAGAAAATTATGGCTGAACCATCAAGATTTAATGCCGAAAAATTTTTTATCTAAATTGATAAACACTTAATTAATGTTCTATCATATTCCTGAAAGACAAATTCTAGACAGACAAATTCTAGATGGAGAAATTCTACATGGACAAATTCTAGATGGACAAATATAGACAGACAAATTTAGACAGGACAAATTCCATCAAATGCTATTCTCATTATCTAGAAGTAAAGTGCCAAAATAGGAACCTTGGTCGTAAGTATAGGCTGTACTTTTTACCATTAGCACTGTGAACATGGCTAGGAGGCTCAGGCCCTTGTATTTAGAAAATTCTGGAGTTTTTTTCTTTTAATTCTAAGGGATTTATTTTGACTCCAATAACAGTTAGGTAAGTATAGTTGAATAAAATGCAAACCTTGTTTGGCTTTAAATTCAATTGTGAGAAAGTTGAATAATGGAGAGAAAGTGCTCCAGCAACAAGTTCATCAAGATCATCACAGAGAATTAGGTTTACCACTTTAATAAAAACTTCTAGTTAAAGATACCTGGGAGTGGGATCAAAATTAATGAATTTGAGCTACATTGCTGAACTACCTACTGCTGGTTCAAATTTAAACCACAAGTTAAAAGTTAAAGATTCAGAATGGATTTGGTGATTCAAATTTGAACTAGCAGTAGGCAATTAGTGTCTTAGTGTGTGTGTTTCCATCTTTACCTGATAAAAAGAGCCATGAATGACTTGTATACAGATTATGCACTTGCTCAAGTATTCCAGTAGAGTTCATCCTAGCATCAACATTTGCCCTTATTAGAAGGTTTACCATGATGAACAGCAGTCTCATTTTTTCATCCTACATTCTGAACATTGTTTTGTTTTTGAATTTGACTCTCGACATCTATTAACTTTAAAATTACTTCAACATTTCTAAAGGTTTAATATGCCTAGTCAGCTTAGAACAACTATAAAAGGGTTAAATTAGGGTTAATAGGGTTAAATGAACTTAACAGACAAGCTCATTCATTATGGACCATCAGAGTTTAAAACAAAAGATAAAAATGTACAGCTTAAATGTTGAGTTTCAACTTAAATGCTACTCATGACGAGATAAATAAATGTTGCTGCACTGGCATATTCAAATAACCCTATTTTATGACATGATATATGAGTCTTGTATTAGATTAAATTAAACCCTGAATTCATTATTTTACAGTGTTTTTTTTTTGTTATAACTTAAAACTCACAGTCTTTATTTTTGGACTCTGTTCAGTTAAAAAGTTTTTGTACACTATTTGTTGTTTAATAACTAAAATTTCTTTTAATTTTCAAAATTCTTAGTTCTTTAACAGAATTTTGCCGCTCCTTAATACAACTCTATGATATAGGAAAAATTGTATTGAATAACAAGTGTAGGTTCGCGTACCATGTTACACTAAATGTTTCTTTCTGAATTTAAAACAGAGGACTCACTGTTTGAGAGAGTGAAAGCTTATATTTATTTTGGATTCCTTTACTTTTGAAATATTGTTTTTGTAATATTAAGGCGTTGCAAAAGTACATTAATCATGGACAATAAATTCCCTTTATTAATCAATAAAATTTAAACATTGTATGTTTGGTTGCTTTCAATAAATATGAATTTGGGCTCAAATCTTCTGTTCATATCCAATCAAAATTTTTAAAAAATTGATTATAAATCATTTTTATTTCTGAAAAATGTTTGAAATCCACCAATGAACACAGAAAAATCCAAAAAATGTTTATTATTTATTATTCTACATAGTTCAATATGCAATGTACATATAAGATAGGTTGAAAATAATCAAAAAGATTAAATTACTTACAGAAAGAGGGTTTCATTAATTAAGATAAAATCTGGTACCGCCTCTTAAAACAAACGTAAAAAATAAAAAATAGTAAGAGGGACCCGACACAGCCAGTTCTAGGAAGATTATACTGCAATGTGAATTATATAACCCTATAACCCAAAACTTTTCTATTCTATGATTAAAAATAGATTTTTTAAAATCCTTTCTACTCCACCTCAAACAAATTTACAAAAATCTATTTTTAGGGTATTAAAACACCCTTTTTTATGAAATAAGTTACAATGTAATATTTCATAATCTTAGCATAGTATATATCCTATATCTAAGAATACAGTGAAAGAATTTGTAGAATGTTGCCTTAACACTTATTTAGTGTTAAAAGCTAAAGTTTTGGTATTACAAATAATATCTATTAATTTTTTGGAAAAAGTCTGAAAAATTAAAAAAAGTTTTTTTAACAGCTTTATCTAATTGGGTAGATGCAGAATTGTTTTTAAATTACTTCATTGGCTGAAGTTTAGAAATTGTTATACAGGGTGTCCCACGAAACATGACAGTTGGTAAATAGTTTAAAATGTATTCTTCCATAATTTGTTAAGCTGTTTGATATAAGAGAATAACAAAAATATTATTTGGCAGTCATATAGTTGTAAACATGATTTTAGATTAAAATGTATTTGAGTAAAAGATTTTTTTAACCAAATAAACTGCAAAAAGTCTTTATAAATTAATACAGTATATGGAAGAAGACATTTAAAACTATTCACAAACTGTCATGTTTTGTGGGACACCCTGTAATTGATTCAATAAAGCACACATTGTCCTTGGCAATTAATTATAGAATACAACATCTTAAAAGTTCTTTAAATATATCGGGATAATGTAAAAATGATTAAATGAAACAAATAAATGGCTGAAACCTCTTTCTTTTAATACATAAATCTTAAATACAAACTCTTCTGTCTTATACTGCAAAGTATCTTTCAGAAGTTGACTCAATCTTTGANTCCAAGAGTAGGATAAAATCTTGATTTTACAAATAAAATATTAATATTTCCAAGAGTAGGATAAAATCTTGATTTTACAAATAAAATATTAATATTTCCAAGAGTAGGATAAAATCTTGATTTTACAAATAAAATATTAATATTTCCAAGAGTAGGATAAAATCTTGATTTTACAAATAAAATATTAATATTTCCAAGAGTAGGATAAAATCTTGATTTTACAAATAAAATATTAATATTTCCAAGAGTAGGATAAAATCTTGATTTTACAAATAAAATATTAATATTTCCAAGAGTAGGATAAAATCTTGATTTTACAAATAAAATATTAATATTTCCAAGAGTAGGATAAAATCTTGATTTTACAAATAAAATATTAATATTTCCAAGAGTAGGATAAAATCTTGATTTTACAAATAAAATATTAATATTTCCAAGAGTAGGATAAAATCTTGATTTTACAAATAAAATATTAATATTTCCAAGAGTAGGATAAAATCTTGATTTTACAAATAAAATATTAATATTTCCAAGAGTAGGATAAAATCTTGATTTTACAAATAAAATATTAATATTTCCAAAAGTTGGATAAAATCTTGAGTTTACAAATAAAATACTAATATTTCCAAGTGTAGGATAAAATCTGTGTTTACAAATAAAATATTAATATTTCCAAGAGTAGGATAAAATCAAAGGTTTAACAATAATAATCAATATTTCCAAGAACAGGATTGAACAAGATAGAATAATACCAACTCCTACAACTATAAACAGGAACACAGTACTCTAAACAGAATATTAATCATTATCCGAAAACTGCAAAATTATTGTTAATTAAATAAAAAAGTATGGAAACTTGATTCTGTAAATTTAGATATTGTTAAATTATAAACCAACAAGTCATTGAATTAAAATTGTAAAACCGAACAACTGAACCTTAATAACAAATACATCGGAAGAATTTATCAAATGTCGGCTTGACAATTTTTCAATGAGTTTTATACTACTAGCCTAAGGGCGCTTCGCGCCCATCTTCTAGATTAATTGTGAAAATGTTCTCTTTGTGTACATCGTAAAACAAAACAAAAATAATTCGCGGATTTTCACAAAAAAATTCGTGGATTTTCAAAATTTTCAAAAGTTTTATGAAGATCGAATTTTGATGGAGACAATTATTTAAAATTTCAATCATTCATAAACCTTCCCTGGGGTCCCTAGATGTCCCACAAAAAATTTGGGCCCGATCGGTTCAGCCGTTTTGACGTTTATTGGATACAAACAGACAGACAGACAGACAGACAGACAAGCCAAATTTATATATAGACTATAAATTCAAGGCGCTTCGCGCCCTTCTTTCTAGCCTTAGAGGGCGCTTCGCGCCCATCTTCTAAATTAATTGTGAACATGTTCTCTTTGTGTACATCGTAAAACAAAACAAAAATAATTCGCGGATTTTCACAAAAAATTTCGCGGATTTTCAAAATTTTTAAAAATTTAATGACGATCGAATTTTGATGGAGACAATTATTTAAAATTTCAATCATTCATAAACCTTCCCTGGGGTCCCTAGATGTCCCACAAAAAATTTGGGCCCGATCGGTTCAGCCGTTTTGACGTTTATTGGATACAAACAGACAGACAGACAGACAAGCCAAATTTATATATAGATGTTACGTAAATTTCAATATTTGCGAAAATAAATAAATAGCCATGAATATGCGGGAACAGTTTTAAAATGTTCCATATAATCATTTCAATAAAAAACTAAATATCTTCAACATTCCATTATCAGAAAGTGAAGAATACGACATTTGATGAATTCTTTCGATGTATTCGTTATTAAGGGTTTTACTGTAGGTAAATATAGAGGAACTGAACAAATGCCACAAATGTTAATAATCTCTTAATCTATGCAACATGATGGTGTAAACATTAATATTTGTTCAAACAAATTCATAATTGAAATATTAAGCATAAGCATAAGGTTGTAAAGGAGTTGAGTTTTTGCCACAAACTCTGATTTTCTAATCTCTATATCTTTGTAACCCAATGTTGTAGACCTTAGATATTTCAAACTGTTAATACTTAAAGATTAAATAAGCTAAGTTTGAAATATCAAAGGTTTGCACCATAAGGTTGCAAAGATATTGGGATCAGAAGATTTGAGTTTGTGGCAAGAACTCAATTCCTTTTGTGACAAATCTTCTTTACTAAAAAACTAAGTAGTTACGCAGACATTAGCAACAAGAAGCCGACATCCATTCCATACACTGCAGATTATTCAATCCCTCTAAAGTTCCACAAAGTAATTGCTTTCATAGATTGTATTGAAATGCATTTATGAATTTAAAATGAAAATAGTTTTTCTTAAATAGTAATTCCCTTATCACTACATTTCTGTCAAAATGCTAAGATCTTCAGTTATAGGGATTCACAGTTTAAGCTTTAAAAAGTTTTCTTAAAAATTTGCCTTATTTTCATATATTTCTAGTTGACCTGAATTCCTAGCTTTAGGTCTGAGCTGTTACAAGAAACAGCTCCTTTTACACCACTAAATAATTATAATTAGAATTGTTTTATAAATAATTTTGAAAACATTTATATCAGTTGACCATCAAATTATGAAATAAGAAGGCAACATTTAAATGTTAATATGTGTATAGAATGCTGTTAAAGAGCAACTAACATTTATTTCTTTTTAAATTTAAAATTACAGATCATACAAAAAAATTATATTCAATTATTATTTTTATCTATTTTTTCTCCTTCATTTCTCATTTTCTTCTTTTGTTGACTCTCCCATCTTAAAATTAGGAAAAGAAGAAAATTATTTTACAAAACCCTGCATAGCTAGTCAAAATTGCTTAGTATAATGCTGCATATTTAAATCTCCAATTTTCACCATCATACTTTAAGTTTCATGCTTCTCATAAACATGTTGAGTAAGGGTTTTAGTAGTTTTACACCCAGTGACCCAATCCAAGCTTTAACCCTCATTTAAATAGATGTTCCAGTGTGGGGAAGATCCCTAGGTTTTCTACAGGATGATGCTCTGGAGAGATTGAAGAATCCAGCTGAACAAAATATTTTCACATTTTTCTCAAAATATAATAAATCGTCTATTATAAGTTAATTAATAAATTTTAGTCATTAAAACTTGTTCTTATTGAGCCTAGCTAAATTGGTGACCCTGAGTTTAGTTTTTTTCCTATAGCCTGCAACCAATATTTCGCTATAGAGACATTTTATAGCTACACACAGTGACAATGTCTAAGAACAGTGTTATTGTTTCAATTCTGTTCATTTCCTTTGACGTTCTAATTGCTGTGAAGGTTCTTACTTTTTGGCCAGATTCCGCAAAGCTTGGTTCATGCAAATGAAAGCTCAGTTTGCTTTGAAGGGGGTAACCGTTAGTGCCACAAAGTTTCTCTTCCTTCAATCAAGAAACTGAAAATCAAGTTCTCAATCTCAGCAAATCTCCTCCAGGTCATAAACCATCCAGGCTCTGAAGAGGTGGTTGCTCAAACTTTTTGCACTTGATGACTACCAGAGGTATGAAGCTATTTCCAATCTACCTTTCTCAGGAGACATGCAACCTTCCAAGCTCATGTAAAGCATGTTAACACTCCTCCCAGATGATCACAAACTAAGTTTCTCTCTTCATGGAGTCTTTCTCAAATGTTTACCGGCCAACATCAGAGCTCATCTTCTCAGGGACAACTTCAGGCACACCATCTCCCTCGCTCTTAAGGCCGACAAGATCTACCAGAGCAGAGTGTCCTTGTCTTTAGTTTTTGTCATGGAGTTAGTCAACATCTTCTTACACAGCCTGGTCCTCCAGTGTTTGCTAAACCTTGTGGCCTTGATCCAGAGAAGTAAGCTACTGCTAAGACTAAGTTTGCCGCCATGGAGAAAGCAGGAATTATATGAAGGTCAAATTCTCCCTGGTCCTCTCCGTTACACATGGTTAAGAAGAAAGATGGAGGCTGGAGGCCTTGCAGAGACTATGAGGCTATGTATGGTACAGCTCATACCATCCCTGGAGAAATTCTAGACAGTCCTGAACTTCCTAGCTCTGGCTTTCTGAGCAAGATAGAAAGAGCAATAACAGGATTCGTCATACCTCCGCCTCAGCACATTCATTCCTGGACTCTGTCTGAGCTGCCTGCCTCCCTGGTAAATTCCCAGTTCGTTTTTGTTTGTGAAGAGGCTAGTATACCTTCCCTTGCTCTTCTCTATCGCAGTCTATACCTGGCAGTGGAATGGTGGAACAAGTTCTTTCGTCTTGAGATCTAAACTCAAGCCGTCTCTGTGTCTGAGGACCATCTCAAACCTGTAATATCCGATTCTCCAGTGAGTGCTGCTACACCTCCACTTAGAGGTTGTCAGCTTCTCTGTCCATCCATACTTTTCATTTAGTAGTTTTAAAGAAAATATCAAGAAGTCTTAGCTCCCCCAACCTTTTACCTGCATGTTAGACAACATTCAATAAAGTTGCATGTTTATGACAATTTTTTTTAAACGATAGTTGTTGTTAAAAACGCCCGTTTTTATAAAGTTTGTTGTTTCGTTAACAATTGTTAACAATAACCCTTTGTTAAAGATTGTTAAAAAAGACCCTTCATTAGCGATCGTTAACATATTTATCCATGATAATTTGTTTTCAAAAACTATCCTTTTTTCAACTATGGTAGCTTATCATTTTTATAAAAAGGATTGTTTTCAAGAACAATTGTTATTATATTTTTAAAAGTTCAAAACGAGTAGGTCGTTTTTTCAAAAACAATAAATTGTTTTATTTAAAACGAAACGAACATTTTTGAAAACTATTCATTATCAGGAGATTTAGAAAATGACATTTAAAAAATTCTTCCGATGTATTCTATATTCTTTATTTAGGGTTAATTGTATTATAGAGGACGTGAGTCAGACTCTAATAAAAACGCATAAATAACTTCCAGTATATATATTTCTTATAACTTATTACTAGAGGGTTCAGAACTAGAGTCAATATCGATATCACACGTGTAGATGATTTTATCAGTACTATGCCCCGTATCCGTTCTATCTCATTCTGTTGAATCTTGTGGAACTTGTTTAACGCGGCCAGGCATCGTCTTCCACAGTATGATATTTGATATATACATAAAAAGAATGGAGAAGTACTTCACAAAATGTAAAAAAGTAGAATTGATTACATAAATGCATAATTCAAGGCTTTTAGCTTAGTTATTTTCTAAGATTTAGGCTATTTTAGATTTTTTCTGACTGCTCATAAATGCCAAGAAGATTGACTGTTGCAAAAACAATAGCGCTATGATTACAAATCTTGAGATTTTTTAATCCTTTTAAGGTTAATAAACAATTGTAAATATTTTTCCTTTTTCTAATGCCACTCTCCTTACCATAACCATGCTTTGCAGCAAAGACAAAAAGAAAAAAATTAAGAATTTTCATCTTAATTCTATCTAGACTAAATTTCAAATATAATGTAAATATCTTTATATACTTTATCTTGAAAACTTTTTTTTGTTAAATTAAATAAAACAGATTTTATCACCTTTTGTTTTTTCCTATTGTGTTTACAACTCCTGTCTCTTGAAGAACACTGAGTTGTTTCCTAAAAATAGGGATTTTTTAATCATTAATTTTACTGGTATAATAATAATAAACTGATATAATTATCAACATTTTATTTGTTTTCAAGAAACAGTAGCCATAATTGCAAATTACCCTCTATTTATACATAGAGAGGCATGTCCGATTCAGGACAGTGCTCTTTAAAACTTTCTTAGAGCAAGGATGATGTTGATATATACTCATTATACGTAGAACAATGATATACACAAATTAGATAGTAATTATATTCAGAACAATGATATACACAAATTAGGTTGTAATTATATTCAGAACAATGATATACACAAATTAGATAGTAATTATATTCAGAACAATGATATGCACAAATTAGATAGTAATTATATTCAGACCAATGATATACACAAATTAGATAGTAATTATACGTAGAACAATGATATACACAAATTAGATAGTAATTATATTCAGAACAATGATATACACAAATTAGGTTGTAATTATATTCAGAACAATGATATACACAAATTAGATAGTAATTATATTCAGAACAATGATATGCACAAATTAGATAGTAATTATATTCAGACCAATGATATACACAAATTAGATAGTAATTATATTCAGACCAATGATATACACAAATTAGATAGTAATTATACGTAGAACAATGATATACACAAATTAGATAGTAATTATACTCAGAACAATGATATACACAAATTAGTTAGTAATTATACTCAGAACAATGATATACACAAATTAGATAGTAATTATATTCAGAACAATGACATACACAAATTAGATAGTAATTATACTCAGAACAATGATATACACAAATTAGATAGTAATTATACGTAGAACAATGATATACACAAATTAGATAGTAATTATACTCAGACAATGATATACACAAATTAGATAGTAATTATACTCAGAACAATGATATACACAAATTAGTTAGTAATTATATTCAGATCAATGATATGCACAAATTAGATAGTAATTATATTCAGACCAATGATATGCACAAATGCATTGATGTCTAATTATACATACTGGAATAGGGTTGTAAATTGTGAATTTTTCTGCAGGTAAATTCCAATCTGTTGAGGAAGATAAGGATCTTCAGCAATCTTTGCAACCTCACAAGGATTATGAACTAAAACAAGTTGGTTTTAGAACTAGTGCAGAGTCATAAACCGCGATTTGGCCCTTTCCTGACACTGAATGGCAGGTTTGGGCCAAATTTATTATTTTATAAAGATCTTATAATCTAAGCCGAAAAGGAAAAACTATAGTGTATTTATTTTTTATAAAATATAGAAAACCTTGCATTGTCTAAAAATAATTTTTGTGAATCTTCAACTAATAACTAAAATTTTAAGATATGAGAAAAAAAACAATAGCCAACTTTCTTTGAAAATATTTTGATAAAAAAATTAGTTATTTTTAAAATTTGAGTTTTAAAGACTAAAAGATTAAAGATGTGTATAAGAATATTTACCAAAAAGATTCAAAGCATCATCACCAAAACCCAGAACCAGATAATTATTCTAAAAAATGCATTTTTTATATACATTTTTATACAAGTGTGAACAATATACAAATAAATTTTTCTTGCAAAATAAATATTATCTATTAATTTAAAAAATCCTGTACAGTTTAACTGTAAAAAATATAGTTTCAAGAAAAAATAGATATTTCATGCAACTTTGTAATTAACGAACATAAAACAAGAACCCAAATTTGTTACGGTTTTTTAGTTTAAGACTGTATGGTTGTATGGTTGTTATGCTTTACTTAAACTCCCTTATACATACAAATTAATTTAATAAATTATTATTTATTTTCTTATTTAAAGGGACAGTTAACATAAGTTCAAGTGACTCTCCATTTATAGAGTGTCATGTCAGATTTTAATCATATAAAGCTTTGTCTGATCAAGCATCTTCAATTCAAGAATTTCAATAACCAAATTATGAAGAAATTAAAACTTACTCTTATAGCTTGCAATATGTTGTCACTATTTGCACTTTCCCATTTTAATATTCCATATTCCTGGTTCAATACCTTCAAGTATAATATTCCATATTTCTGGTTCAATACCTTCATGTATAATTACGTTTTAAATATTCCATATTCCTGGTTCAATACCTTCATATATAAACACTATTTTAATATTCCNAAATATAAGCTGATTAATCTAAATTCACCAGTTCTCAGGAACATGTTCAAATAAAAGCTGATTAATCTAAATTCACAAGTTCTAAGGATCATGTTTAAATAAAAGCTGATTACTCTAAATTTGTATCTTTTATTGTGGCAACTGGCAACCTGATGACTTTAGGTATTTCAAACTATAAATATTACTTCATCAAAGTAAAGTTTAAAAATTTGAATGAGGAATGAAATACACAAAGGTATTAAAATTTATTTTAGAAATGTCAAAATAATATTTGGTTTTATGAACTCATTAAAATGAAAGGAAACGTTTTCTTTTATTCTAAGGTTAGTCCTGTAAAGCCGAATTCTAAAAGCAAAAAAAGAACAGTGTTTGAATGGATTTTGATTAAAAAATAAATATTGTAATCTTTGATTTGTTTACACTGGTTAATGTTGCAAGATCTACGGAAAACAAAATTTGAATTAAAGCGCTTGTGGTATCATTAGGATATTTACAAAATAGGCTAGTTATAAATTTAAAATGATGATAAAAGCTTTAGAATGTTATTGTTACTGATTTCAAACTATCCTGATCTGAGAACTCAAGTTCTGTAATGTAAAAAGAACCAGCAGGCAGAGATAATTTCATATCAGTATCTTATAGAAACATTTGTATTTGAATGCAATTATATGAAAAATATTAAAATAATTATAATAATAATAATAATAATAATAATATAGATAGTTATAATAGTAATAATAGTACTACTAATAATAATGATCATAATAATAGTTATAATGTTAATACCCAGTATATCCTCCATCTTTTGAATTGGTAGATTAATAATAGTAATAATAGTAATAATAGTAATAATAGTAATAATAGTAATAATAGTAATAATAGTAATAATAGTAATAATAGTAATAATAGTAATAATAGTACTACTAATAATAATGATCATAATAATAGTTATAATGTTAATACCCAGTATATCCTCCATCTTTTGAATTGGTAGATTCTCAGTTTTGCTGAAATACATTTTAAAAATATGATCTATAACTTTCTTAGTCTTATAAATTTTTGTATCTTAAACTTGTATCTTAACTGCTCAGATAGCTCTAAACCGTTCAACCTTACATGGATGGATGCAAAGGATTGTTAACTTTCCTTGATTTAAGGCATTTTAATCCAATATTAAAGTTTGGCAATGTATGGTAGTTGAACTGAGAATGTAGGTTTTTGAAGACATTTTATAAATTTATTTGAGACATATAAAACGTTTTAATGATGTATAATTACTGAGTTAAAGCGCAAAGCCAACTTTCAAAATCATCCATTATGGTGGTTACGTTTTGAGAATCAATTTATTTAAAAATTATTAAACAAGGACGACAAAAAATGTATCAAAAGTTCTTCAATAAACAAATTAGAGTATTCAAATGTTGTCACTTCAATAAAAATCTACAGAAAATGTTTGTGAACAATAAAAGCCTACAGAAACTAAGAACAGAATAAGATTACTTATTTTGGATGATAAGAGTTATTTTTTATTTCATCAACCTGTTCCTAAACACTTTATAAGTTTACTGTAGAATTTTTGTTATATTTTTGTTGTTGCTATTTAATATTCAAAAAAATAGATTCTCGAAATGGAACCACCCAAATGGATGACTTTGAAAATCGGCTTTGCCCTCAAACTCAGTAAATTTACATCATTAAAACGTTTTACATGTCTCAAATAAATCCAAAAAAATTCTCCACAATACTACAGTCTTAGTTCAACTACCATAAATTGCAATCCCTTTTGGCAAACAGTAAGGTTAGAACCTTACTGTTTGAAAACTGGTATTGCTTATTTCTAAATAATCTAGAAACCATTAGATCTAAACTCCTTAATATTCATGACCATTACAGTTTCATGCAGAACACCTCTTATCATCCTTTTAACCCATTTAATTGTTATTGGGAAATACCAGCTTTGTTAATTGAAAAAATATCATTAAAAGTGCCCAGCCCTAAAAACAACATTTAATAAAAAATATTAATTGCCTGGTAAAAGAAGATGTAAGTTCTGCTTTATAGGTTTCCACTACAAAGAATCCAAGAACTAGATAGGTAAACATACATACTCTCCAGGCTTTCTTAAACCTTAATCAATAACTAGATAGGTGAACATACATACTCTCTAGGCTTTCTTAAACCTTAAATAAGAACTAGATAGGTCAGCATACATACTCTCCAGGCTTTTTTTAAATCTTGAACAAGAACTAGATAGGTAAACATACATACTCTCCAGGCTTTCTTAAACCTTAAACAAGAACTAGATAGGTAAACATACTTACTCTCCAGGCTTTTTTAAACCTTAAACAAGAACTAGATAGGTTAGCATACATACTCTCCAGGCTTTCTTAAACCTTAAACAAGAACTAGATAGGATAGCATACATACTCTCCAGGCTTTCTTAAATCTTAAACAAGAACTAGATAGGTAAACATACTTAATCTCCAGGCTTTTTTAAACCTTAAACAAGAACTAGATAGGTAAACATACATACTCTCCAGGCTTTCTTAAACCTTAAACAAGAACTAGATAGGTCAGCATACATACTCTCCAGGCTTTCTTAAACCTTAAAAAAGAACTAGATAGGTCAGCATACATACTCTCCAGGCTTTCTTAAACCTTAAACAAGAACTAGATATGTTAGCATGCATACTCTCCAGGCTTTCTTAAACCTTAAACAAGAACTAGATAGGTAAACATACATACTCTCTAGGCTTTCTTAATCCTTAAATAAGAAATAGATAGGTAAACATACATACTCTCTAGGCTTTCTTAAACCTTAAACAAGAACTAGATAGGTCAGCATTAGCATAGAAGTTCTTCAGGCTTTCTTTCCTGACATGGTTCTACACCAGATATTTGCCAAATATAATATATACATATCATCCTTGCTCTATGCCTGTGAATTATTCTATTTTACCTTAGCTGTGGTAGAATGAAGGTGTCTACAGCTCCCAGGATTCTAATGGAGAAGCTTAGAATGTCTTTCACACTTATTTCCTACAAGCAAGAGGAGATTCAAAGGGACTGTCTTTAAATTTAAGCTACAATTTAAAAGGTTTTATTATAAATTGAAATACAATATAGTTTTATGTTTTGTTGTATTGTTGTATGAATGTATATAAAAACGCATATTTTCGACAATCCTAAAAATTTTATTTTCTTATTCAGATTTTTGTTGGAAGAAATTATTTATTCTTTCAAATTTTGTGTCAACTATAAATTTCAAAAGATTTCTGCCTTTTCTCTTAATTTTGTTTTCTTGTTGGACAAGTTTGCAAGTAGGAGAAGGAACAACGATAGACCTCCTGCTGAACAGAAAGCACACAACCATATTATCTAAACATAAACATTGAAAAATCTTATTTAAACATGATTTTCTTTACTTGTACTGAATTAAAATGCACCTACTGTTGAAAACAACAACAAGTTTTCTAATAATTAAACAATCCAAAATAATTTTTAAAATTACAAGAATTTTGTTTTCAAATACAATCAGAATGTTGAAAACATAAAAGCTATTGAGATATCCCTAACATATTGTTCATAATTTGACATAAGTTAGTGCAGTTCATTTTGTTTGTTCATCATTTGTGGGCAACCCATTTCATTTTTATAATCGTTCATAAAAATTGTTTTGTCCATTCTCAAAACTAAAGTTCATTTTCCATTTATTTTGTTCATTTTCCATTTATTTTATTTTTAAAACTAAATATTTTTTTATTTTCGTAATGCAATGGAATTTAACAGAAATTACATGTTAAAATTACAAGATCATTTTTTATAATTATACATGAGCATTATTTTAAAGCAAGTTTTACTATTAGTAATATTCAAGGAATGAGCGGTAAAATTATCAAGTATATCATTATCCAAAACTGCATTAAAATTATAACATAAATCTGGTCTCCATTTTCATTTTTTCTTCTTGCTTCTTGTTTCTTGTTTTTACACTGTAAGGCCTTTCCATATATTTCTTTTAACATCAAGTTGTGGAGCAGGTAGGGGAGAGAAGGAGGTTTGTAGGAAGAAGGGTATAGGGGATCTCTCCCTGTGTTCCTTCATTTTATACTGTTTCCCAGTTAGGGGAATTAAGGAATTTACCCATAACTGCACCCCATATGCAAAATGGGGAGTTGTGATCCCTGCAAGCTCTATTGAGAGGTATCTTCCATGGCAGTCCAGTCCTCACATCTGGTCGAGTAAAATACCTGTAACGTTGCGCATGGCTTGTATTCCCACAAGGGGTTAAACTCCTCTTTCAGTGCACCAGGCTGAAGATGAAGTTTTGCTTTCAGCTTCCCCTATAGGATACAAGATGCGTAACTAAACTCAGCGCTTCCCCAACTGTAATTCTGGGACTGCTACATAGTAGGTCCGTTCTGCTTGAGAGAAAGCAGGCAACTGATATCTTTAGACTTTAAAGGCATGATAATTAATTGCACAATGCCCATGTTAAAAACTTACAGGTTTGAGAGGTTTAAAGAAAGCCATAAACTCAAGTTCAGTCCCAGGCTTAGCTAGCAAACAAAGAGTTGGCTGTAGAATCATTTTTCCACCAAAATCAGCAACCTAAACAAATTTCAGACAAATTGAATGCTCATGTCTAATTTCAAATATTAATAACAATTTTTTAAAAAAAGCTACATACCACAAAATGGAATTAAAAAAAAGTATGGTTCAGATTTGATTTTCTTTAAAGTTCCAGACCTGATTCCTAGAGTGAGTCAATGTAAGATCTGCTACAGCAATATCTATTTCTCCTCTCTCAAGCATTCCAATAAGTCCGTTAAACTGAGAAATCTTGCCACGGTTCATTACTCCACCAGGAACCTTCACAAAACAATTT